GTGCTGGTGTGCCGCAATCGGATGTTGCATAGTGACGTACCCAGTGTCGTTATGGTTACTCGGTATCACCTCGGGCACCATAGTAACTAAAGTAAATATAAACAATGTGAAGGCTAACCTTATCCATCACCTTGTCTCCTACTTTATTAGACTTGATGAAAAAATAAATAAAGTCTAATAAAGTCATATATTTAGTATATACACACACAACTACAAAATGTTTTGTGGTCGTGTAGTGAATTTTTTATAATGTCATTCTACTGTCATTGATCTACATGTGCACATATGTGGGTTTTCTAGTTGCCTTTTTGCTCTGTATCACAGTTTCTAGCACGACATAGGTTGCAAACACAATTTAAATGCTATACATGCACTGTTAGTAATGGGCACTCTAGCACTTTAATAGCTTTCATTCCTTATGTGATGATCAGCATGGCACAGATTATATACACAATCTAAATGCTATACATGCACTGTTCTATATTGGCACTTAAGCACTTTATTATATATAATTAAATTTTGACTCATTATGTCTTTACGTGTTATATATATGACTGTCACTTATGCCTCAATATTATATTGTTAGCTTTTTGCTAAGCACTTTCCATTAATTTCTTTATTTATTTCTTAATATGGGTTTACTACTAGAGATGAGCGGACACCTGGATGTTTGGGTTCGCCGGGTTCGGCCGAACATTGGCAAAAAGTTCGAGTTCTGGACCCGAACTTGACCCGAACTCGACCCCGAACCCGAACAACATTGAAGTCAATAGGGACCCGAACATTTTGGGCACTAAAATGGCTCTAAAAAAGTCCTGGCAAGGGCTAGAGAGCTGCAAAATAAAGTAAAAAGGGGGTCAAGAGTAGGAAAAGTGCCCTGCAAACAAATGTGGATAGGGAAATAACTTAAAATAACATAAAATACATAACAATTTAAAATAATAATCTTGAACTAGGAGAGGAGGTGGATGTGGAGTAGGTGGTTGAGGAGGCGGTGTAGGTGGAAGCGGCGGTGGCCAACACTGTTTTTTTTCCGGTTTTTTTTTAATTGGGGTAGCCCCCAAAATATTGGAACATATAAAAAAAGAATCATTTGCGGCCTGCGGTGAATTTCTTGCAGTCCAATAACGCCATCAGGTTTTTAAAACTGTCCGTCTCCACCAGACGGAATTACAGCATTTCAAAGGTCAGGAATTTTGAAATGCTGGCATTCAGGGCCAGGGATCACGGGTGGGTAGGAGGGTACTTCCTCTTTCTCTCCAGTGTTTAGGAGATGGACAGCTGAACGCTTCCATGGGACAGTGTGGAGATGCTTGGGAACGGTGGCGGACGTGGTGGCGTTGCTGCCACATCCTCTGTTTGCGGGGTGGCAGGTGCCACTGTCACTCCAGAGGTGGAGGGAGAGGCTGAGACAGCAGCAGAAAAGGAAGTAGGAGGAGCCTGAGATCTTTCTTGGTTTTTAAGGTGCTTACTCCACTGCAGCTCGTGCTTTGCATGTAGATGCCTGGTCATGCAGGTTGTGCTCAGGTTTAGAACGTTTATGCCTCGCTTCAGGCTCTGAATGCACAGCATGCAAACCACTCGTGTCTTTTGTCGTCAGGACATTGTCTGAAGAACTGCCATGACAAGGACCTCCTTGGAGCTGGCTTTGGTGTGCTCGGTCCCTGGGTCCGTTGGGCAGTAGCAGCCGTATTGTCTAGGGGATGGCCGCTCTGCTTTTGCACCCTGCTCCCTCTTATGCTGTGCTGGTGCCTCTGTGCGACCACCGCCTCTTCCTCCAAACTGCACACGTCACTCGCATGACCTTCAATCCATGTGGGGTCTAGGACCTCATCATCCTCCGCATCATCTTCCACCCACTCCTCAACCCTGCCCTCCTTGCCGGTCTGCACACTGCAGAAAGCCACAGCAGTTGGCACCTGTGTTTTACAGCATGTAAAGTTCACTAAGAATAATTTACTAAAATGGCAAACACTATAATTGGTACAGCCTGCAGTTTAGTGATAAAGATTATGGTCCCAGGTGTGTCCTGGAGCCCTCCCTGCGATTTGACAACTTACCTGGTTCCACTGGGTGTTGGTAGCACCTTCCTGTGCTGGCAGGTCCTGAATAGGAGCCTCAGGCACCTGGGGGCCTGCTGGTAACTTCCTCCCATGGAAAGTTGTCAAGCTGGAGTGGTAATGCTATGTGGAGTGTTAAAGATTCAAAGTGCAAGTAATCTAAATTGTATCTCCAAATATTTCATATACAGTATAATGGCAACCTATGTAAAACTTGTGCGGTATACTTCAATAACTCATTATTCATTTGCAGGCCAACTGAACATCCAGAATGACAAACATGCTTCAATGTTGGGGTTTTCATTTTTTTAAGCTTGTTTTTTTGATATTTATACACTTTTTAAAATATTTTTTTATTAACATGTTTAAAATTACTGAAAAATTTAAATTGTAAAGTCTTCAAAGGACATATGGAAATTGTTTTAGAATTGTATCCAGGCAACAGTCTCCCCTATAAACTGACCTCTCAGTTTGACTTGTGAGGGTAGTGCCCCAGAATTACAATATTGTTTAAGTACCTCTTAGCTATTGATAACTGGTTTAAATATAGCAGCTTGTTATCTGGTAGTTTCTAGTGTAGAAAATATCAATCTGTTTTCTATCACTTAGATCTGTTTAACAAGTGTTGTAGGTGTGAAACAATATTACAAGTGACAGATGTAGTAAATTCGAATCAAAGTTCCATTTGCAAAAAAAAAATTCTCGCCCATCTACTGTGGGTTATTGCATTTTTAAGATGTAGACTTATTGTATCACACTGGCCATGCACAGGTAGATTGTCTGGCACGTTTTTTTGGTGTTTGGTTTTTAACTTTGTAGTTGTGTATTTACACAATATAGAAATGTATACTAATGCTTCTGTATATGAAGCAATCGCAATAACACTTATTTTTTTTATTTATTTTTTTAAATCAGGCTAAACAAAAATTGTTAATTAACAATATGACATCTGAAAAGCACATGAAAGGATGCTGTATGATTTTTTTTTAAAAAGAACACACTACATGAAGGTCCTGTTCACTAGAGTGTGTAGTCATAAATGTAACCAGTAAAACTTTGTTTTTACAGCCACTGGTTGGCCCATACATATTTTAAAATGTGTTTAATTTTGTTATAGCCTGACTTGTAGTCTTGTTTTTAACTTATCTATAATACATATTTTTTCATTGATTATTGAATTTTAATGGTCTAAGATAATTAACATGTCAACAGGAAAACGTAACCCGAATGATTTGTCTCAGTGTTGCCTTTTTATACTGCCTGCACCATAGGCAACATTTATTTGTCTTTAGGTGGGCCGCGGTGTCCGTGGGGCCGAGGCCGGCAGGGGAGGTCCCAGGATCTCCCCTGCCGGTCTATGCAGGGCCGGCACTCTCCTAACGCCGGCCCCGCTGTTTGCCACGACGGGCCGGTGGGGAGATCAAAGATCTCCCTCACCGGCCCACATGCGGCCGCCGGCGGGGAGGGAGGGAGCCAGCCAGCCAGGCTGGAGAGAGGACCCGGCGGAGCTCTAATTTGCGGCTCCGCCGGGATCCTCTCGCGAGATCCGGCGCGTTGCCATGGCAACGACCGGATCTCGCGAGGAGTTCACTCACCCACGAGGACCACCAGGGAACACTGCCTCCCCGCCTCCAGTCCCAGCGTGCCGGTCCCCCCCTCCCAGGCTAAAGGTAAGAAGGGAGGGGGGGGAATAATACCTGGTTTTTTTTTATTATTTACCCCCCCTACATACACACAATAACATTTATACAGCACTCTCACACCCATCACACACAGCATTCTCTCACAGCACTCTCACACCCATCACTCTCACAGAGCACTCACACACACACACAGCACTCTCACACCCATCTCACATACCCATCTCACACAGCACACTCACATCCATCACTCACACACAGCATTCTCACACCCATCACTCACACACGGCATTCTCCCATCCATCACTCACACACAGCATTCTCACACCGTTCACTCACACACGGCACTCTCACACCCATCACTCACACACGGCACTCTCACACCCATCACACACCGCACTCTCACACACACATACTGCACCCCTCACATACACACAGAACCCCCCCAACACACTGCACCACAAACATACACAATACTTCCAAATATATATATATATATATATATATGTATACACACACACTACACTCTTAAAGGACCACTCTAGCCACCCAGACCACTTCAGCTTAATGAAGTGGTCTTGGTGCCAGGTCCTTCTAGGGTTAACCCATTGTTTTATAAACATAGCAGTTTCAGAGAAACTGCTATGTTTATCAATGGGTTAAGCCTTCCCCCAAAGCCTCTAGCAGCTGTCTCATTGACAGCCGCTAGAGGCGCTTGCGTGCTTTTCACTGTGAAAATCACAGTGAGAGCACGCAAGCGTCCATAGGAAAGCATTATAAATGCTTTCCTATGCGACCAGCTGAATGCGCTCGCAGCTCTTGCCGCGCGTGCGCTTTCAGCCGACGGGGCGGATCGGAGGAGGAGAGCTCCCCGCCCGGCGCTGGAAAAAGGTACGTTTTAACCCCTTTCCAGAGCCGGGCGGGAGGGGGTCCCTGAGGGTGGGGGCACCCTTAGGGCACTATAGTGCCAGGAAAACGAGTATGTTTTCCTGGCACTATAGTGGTCCTTTAACATACACACTCTGGATCCCCTATACACACACTAGATTCCTTGTAAGCAAACACATTCTACACCCCTAAACACACACACACTATAGCCTGTATGCACACACTTGCTAATACACACATTCTCTACAGCCCATAGCCACATATGCATCACATTACACCACAAACACAACACGACTAAAACCGACCTTATTACACAATACCACACCACGACCAGCTCACTCTACACCATAGGCGTGCGCAGCCTATTGCATTAGGGTGTGCACCCTAAAGCACAAACACACGCCGCGTGTGTGTGTGTGTGTGTGTGTGTGTGTGTGTGTGTATATATATATCTATATATATATATATATATATGTATATATATATTCACAGACACACACACTCACAGACACACACTCACACTCACAGAAACACACACACACTCACTGACACACACATACTCACATACTCACACACTCACTGACACACACACTCACAGACACATACTCACACACTCACAGACACACACTGACACACACTCACAGACTCACACACGCATACTCACACACTCACAGACACACACTGACACACTCACAGACACACACACTGACACACACACACACACTCACTGACACACACTCACAGACACACACTGACACATACTCACACACTCACAGACACACACACAAATTATTATATTTTAATTTTTTTTTTAAATGTCCACCCAGCCTCCTACCTGGAGTGCTGGTGGACTTGTCCCTGGGGTCCAGTGGGGGCGGGCGCCTTTCTGCAGGTCAGCCGCGGCGAGGGAGCTCTCTGCTGTCTGCTCCCTCTCGCCGCGCGGGCTGTCTGCTGGAGCTGGGAGCCGGAATATGACGTCATATTCCGGCTCCCGGCATCAGCGCGCGGCGAGAGGAAGCAGAGAGCTCCCTCGCCGCGGCTGAGCTGCAGGGTGGGGGGGAATCATCACCTCTTGCCCTCCCATGACAGGGGCAAGAGGTGAAACAGGGGGCACTGAGTGCCTGCAGGAACAGCGTTCCTGCTCAAAAAAAGTGCAGGAACGCTGTTCCTGCAGGACTCAAACCATAGGCGTGCGCACGGGGATTAGGGTGTGCCCAGGCACACCCGGCACACCCCGTGCGCACGCCTATGCTCTACACACACGCAATACCACAAGCAGGCTCCAAACACATGCACAATACTCTTTCCTGGCCTTTTGTCTCCTGGTATCCATTTATAGACACCAGAGACAAGTTGCAAGGAAACACAGTGCAAGCATGTTATTAAATTTGCTTGCACTGTGCAAAACAAATACAGGACTTTTTTCTCATGCTAGAGCTCTTCAGCAGAGCTCTGCGCATGGTCTGCCCTGGAAGAGCATTGAACCAACATGCTCACTTTGAGAGGAGGCGTGTCTGTCATTGGTGACAAAACACACCTCCTCTGCCCCGCCCCCTTTTTAGTGGGCCGCTGTGTTAAAAAAATGCCCGGGCCGAATTTTTCTCCCAGTCCGGCCCTGCATAGTGCACACCCCAAATGTACTATTTAGCACCAAAAAAATTCAAATTTTTAAAACTGCGATGTAACGACGGTATTTAACGGTTCTGTTTGACTCTCAGATATGAAGTGCACGCCCCAAATTTACTTTTTAGCACCAAAAAAATTGAATTTTTAAAACTGTGATGTAACCACAGTATTTGACGGCTCTATTTGACTCTCAGATATGAAGAGCACGCCCCAAATTTACTTTTTAGCACCAAAATAATGTGAATTTTTAAAACTGCGATGTCACAGCAGTATTTAAAAATGCCTAGATGTTGCCCACTGAGCTCACAGCAGTATTTAAAAATGCCTAGATGTTGCTCACTGAGCTATCAGAACAGGATTAAAGTAATATGCCTGGCACATTAACAAACAAACTGATTGATTATTTTTCTGTTGCACTGGGCTCAGGGCAGGGTACAATAATGTAGGATAGCACCTACAAAAATAATTGCTGTAGTTTGCAGATTCAACACCAGAATTCTTTCCTAATCTGTCCCTCACAGCTGCAGCATCCTCTCCCTACACTAATAACAGCTCATGTGACTTGCGGGGCTACGTCACTCCAGCTTATATAGAGGCTGGGTCACATGCTGCACTAGCCAACCACAACCATGCAGTTAGCAGGCATGGCTGTGATGGCTTCTAAGGGCACACGAGTCAAACGCTTGTTGATTGGCTGCCCTGCAGCTTTTCAAAACGCGCCATAAATCGACGAACATCGAACTCGAACCCGAACATTCACTGAAATGTCCTTGTTCGGGTCCGGGGTCCAAAAATCGTAATGTTCGGTACAAACCCGAACTTTACAGTTCGGGTTCACTCATCTCTATTTACTACCCCTAAGTGTCACACACTTTACTAGTTTCATACATCCTTTGCACATCTTTTTTCTCCCCAGTATTTCCATTGTTTATAGCTGTTACCATGGCGCCCCTAAGGCATTACTATATTGCTTTGACAACGGGTTCACCCTCCCTCTACTAGTTCCGGGTGCGGCACGTTCACGCATGCGCACACACAATCGATGAATGATAATTTCTTTCTTGTGGACTATATAACACAGCATTTTAGTGTTAGTGTCATATTGTTTGTTTGTTGACGTGGGCTGAAACGTCAAAACTATGGAATAACTGCTAATAAAGAACTTTATTTTTTACTACGAAGACTGTGAGTGCTAGCCTCTCTATTTTTGTATGTTTTTTGGCTGTGGCTATTTAGCATCCGGTATTTAAACTTACAGGGTTAGTCTGAGTGCAAGGACCTTTTTGTTTTTGTCTATTTATATATATATATAAATATATATATATATATATTTATAAAATTATAACTATATATATAATTAATATCATTCTAAGTGTATTTGAATATTAATATATATATATATATATATATATATATATATATTTATATTAAAATAAACTTAGACATAGTGTATGTGTATGTATATGTGTATGTATATGTGTATGTGTATGTATATGTGTATGTATATGTATGTATATATATATATATATATATATATATATATATATATATGATCTAAGTATATATTTTTTACTTACTAACTGTTTAAAACTTTATTAAACTTTCTTACAGGCACTGGGGGGACTGCCTGTCATTCCAGGCAGGACCCCTGCAGGCACTGCTGTGGATGGCTATTCCGTCCATGTGATCGCGATGTCATCGCAATCACATGGCTGGGAGGGCCGGATCAGCCGCAGGGGGACTCCCTGGGATGCCAGGTAAGTCCCCCCATCGCAATCGTCGGTGAGGGATCACCAGCGATCAGGTAAGTTGGAAGGAGGGCGTGGAGTGCAATGCCAGCGTTTAGGACTGGGTCCCCAAGGATGGCATAGTACGCCCGCCGTTCTTAAGGGGTTAAAGTCCATAATTCTAAAGTGAGAAAGATTTCTGGAACAATGTCTAAACAGCACTTTTTTCATTTGCAGGACTTCAGGGGTGGCATCTGTGCCCCCAAATCACTTCTTAAATATTAAGTAATTTCCGTGCTCTTTTTATAAAAAATTATGGAATGTTGAAGATTTAAATTTTTTAACTATTGCTTATATTTGCAATAATGCATTATTTATACAATGTATTAAGAAATAACGGATCAGTTCCAGTCTGGAATACCCTGTAAATAAAGTGTATCATTGCAGTATATCTTAATTTTCATGTAGGTCTCGGTTTGTGATCATTGTCAGTAATGTTAACCCCTTAACACCGCAGCCAAATGTACAAGTTGTGATCAAAACAAAACCTGGCATTTGCATAATATGTCTGTCCAACCGTAATTCACCTCTTTCATATTAAATGCACCCACACTTATTATATATCATTTTATTCAGGGGAAACAGAGCTTTCATTTAACATCAAAGATTTAGTTAAGTGGCTACTAAAAAAGACTGAACATACCCCATTTGCAATACTCTGGGTTGTCTACTATTGCAAATGGTATGCCATCATGGGGTAATTTTCATTCCTGGGCTACCGTACAGTCTCAAAGGCAACATAACCAACCTGGCGCATTTTTATGTGAAAAAACTGAAACGCAAGCCTTATATTTGAATCTGTAACTTTGAAAACACCGCAAAACCTGTACATGAGGGGTACTGTTATACTCTGGAGACTTTGCTGAACACAAAGATTAGTGTTTCAAAACAGTAAAACGTATCACAACAATTATATCGTCAGTGTAAGTGTCATTTGTGTGTGAAAAATGCAATAAATTTCACTGTCACTGACGATATCATCGTTGCAATACATTTTACTGTTTTGAAACACTAATATTTGTGTTCAGCGAAGTCTTCTGAGTAAAACAGTACCCCCCATGTACAGGTTTTATGGTGTCTTGGAAAGTTATAGGGTTAAATATAGTGCTAGCAAATTAAATTCCCTGAACTTTCGGCCTGGGTTGTCAGGCAGGTCCTGCTAATTGTAATTAATAAAATGACCTAATTATGTAAAATTACAGGCACTCCCCCTGCTGGGAATGCCTTGGACGGCTATGCGATTACATGGCCCATGGGGGCCGAAGAGGACGGAGGGGGACTCCCTGGGCTCCCAGTTAAGTAACCATACTGCGATCGCCGGTGTGGGATCGCTGACGATCGGGTAAGTACATAAGATCGCGTTTAGAGCCATCAAAATAGGGACGGCATAGAACGCCCTGCGGTCTTAAGGGGTTAAACACGTATTTAAAGGACAACTTCCCTGCTTCTGTGCAGGGAGAGAAGCAGAGCTCAGAGACTAACTTTGGGTTTTCAAACACTGTCTGAACTAAATTGCATGCATATGGTTGAAGAATTCTGACAAACACTAAAGGTAAGTATACAGGTTCCTTGTTTTAATGCACGCACTTCATTTAAAAAAATCTGCTTCCTTTCAAAACTCGATCACATGATTGTTATATTAAAAAGCAATTTTAAGGTGATAGTTGCCCTTTAAAGAAACATGCGATTTTACCTAAATTTCCATCAATGAGCACCTTATAGTTTTTCTATTTTTGAAAAATATACCAGTTGAAAGGTATGCATGTAAAAGTACACAACACCATATTCTGCGTTAGGAACAATAATTTACCAGATGGCTTGAAGCCACCATATGAAAGGATTTTTCAGAGACTGAACATTTTTGGGAAATTATATACTGTGACTAGTGATGTCCTGAACAGTTCGCCGGCGAATAGTTCCTGGCGAACATCGCTTGTTCGCGTTCGCCATGGATGGCGAACATATGCGCTGTTCGGTCCGCCCCCTATTCGTCATCATTGAGTAAACTTTGACCCTGTACCTCCACAGTCAGCAGACACATTCCAGCCAATCAGCAGCAGACCCTCCCTCCCAGACCCTCCCACCTCCTGGACAG